TCTATTGGTTCCCTTGGCAGTCCATGGGTACCAGGTACTAGCAGTGCCAGCACTTTTCATGTATTCTGTCACGTTCTTTGAATTTCTTTAATTTAACACCAAGAACTGAACCCTACTATGTTGGTGACTTCTCTCTTGTGAGGATTTTTGAAATGATGCATGTCCTCTTTCAATAGTTCCACCAAATATTCTTTTATAAAGCTGGTAAGCAGTGTAAAATAAGAGAAGAATGGTAGCATCTTTAGGAGAGACAAAATTCTGGTTTTCCCTATATTTAACACTTCATGGGATCTAGTTTGAGGTTGAATGGCTGTTCTCATATGAAGAAAAGGTACTTGGTCCATTTTTTAAACCCTACTAACTTGACCAGTTTTGTAGAACCTCACCAAATCATATCTGTGCAATATTAGATGTATGTGACTTTCTTGGTCCTTAAAAGGACTTTAATATCAATAGCTGCAGTGACCATGTGGGAGCCGTGTCTGACTTCCCCTGTCTTCACAGTGGGGAAAGAGACTCAAACTCAAAAATCCATCCGAGACTGATTCCTGTGATGTGAAGGTCAGACCTGGTTCCTCCTTATAACCTTCTTTACTCTATGGTGATACCAACCATCCCACCCACAGCACTCTCTGCTTCACATCTGGGTTCGATAATCCATTGCAATGGCCACACAGAACTCATAACAATACTCATGATTACAGGGTTTATTAGGGAAGTGAACAGGGTACAATTCAGGATCAAAACCAGCTCAGGATGCAGCAGTTCTCCCGTCAGGAATGCCTCTTGTCTGCCATACTGCAGGCGTGCCTCACTCTTGTTTTCAGTCTCTCAACCAGGTGCTCCCTTGGCCTCTACCCTGCTCGAGCACAAGTTACAAGGTTCTTTTAGCCAATTTGTGAATCCCAAAGGGCACATTCTTCAAGTCAGTCTCCTGCCTGTAGACTTAGTCTATAGGCCTAGAGCCCGAAGCTGCTCTGCCTCTCCATGCCAGCACCTCTGTCGTCATCTCTGTAGTCACTGTTTCTCTAGGTAGGGATCTCATGTGTTACTAATGCTCTTCCTTCTTGATGGTCCTGGGGTCTTCTGTCTCTGCCTCTGAGATGGCTCCTTTTAAACCTAGATCGAGGGCAAAGATAACCAATCCTAGTCTTAGAGTCCTGTATACTTTATTTGAATGGTCTCACCCAATCACTTGGTGGGTATTAAGAAGACTTTGGATAGAAAAGTCATATCAAGTAAATTCAAGGCACTACAATAACCCTAGGTAATAGTTCTGATTTATAGTGAGTCCTTTCTCTAAGCCATCAATTCAAGGTTGTTGTTGTTGTTATGTGCCGTGGAGTCGGTTCCAACTCATAGTGACCCTGTACAGGGTTTCTGAGGCTGTAAATCTGTACGGGAGCAGAAAGCCTCATCTTCTCCATGGAATAGCTGGTACTTTCGAACTGCTAACCCTGAGGTTAGCAGCCCGATTCGTAACTGCTACGCTACCAGAGCTTCTCATCAATTCAAAGTTAGAGGCTAGTTTATGGCCAATAGGTAAGAAGCAAAGTTGAGATGGTTTAAAGATAGTTTAGTCACTGGCAAAACCTATATAGAGCCATCTCAGTTTCCTTCGGTTATATTTCTAAGGGTCCAACTCAGCTGCTTCTGAGCTCCTTAGACAGTGGTAGTCTTCCCACCACTGATTTTTGGTTTGGGGTTGGAGTTCTAAGAAAACAGAAGTGAATTTTTTGTCCCCTCCCAGATATACTCCAGGACAGTGACATTAGTTATGCTGGTTTATTTGTGCTTCTGGCTTCCAGTTTTCTATAAAGAGTAAGTCATAATGGGGGAATACAATTGATTCAGAGATAGCCTTTGTTCTTTCTTTGTTTCAGCTGAATTAGTTTTTAGTTGTTATTGTTAGATCTCAACAGTTGTTGAGATCTCAAAGATGAATAGTCTTACAGATAGAAAAATGTCTTTTTCATGCTGTCAATTGTTATTCTTGAAAGACAGGATTTAGAGATGTATTTAGCAATTAGGACTTCAAATAGAGCTTGAATATGATCAGACTTTGTCATCATCATCTTAGTCACAATCATCTTAAGAGTTCACATTTATGGTTCAGATAAAATATTTAAGATATACTAAAAGGGAAAATCAGTACATTACTTTGTTGTCACATACCAAGTATATGTATTTTTATGTAAATTAAGATACATTTGGAGAGAAAAGAGAAAACTGCATTTTGAGACTCTCATTGAATGCAGAAGAAGAAATGTAACCGCTCAGTTACTAAAAAGAAATCATTGATGTTTCTTGCATGCAAAACAGAATATCATATCTTTTGAATTTTGTTCACTCAGTTATCTCTTGGTATTTTTCGTGTCTAAGTAAAAACAGAATTACACACTGAATTAAAAAAAAAATGCTAACATGGCAAATTAGTTTACAGTTATTATTTTTAGACTGGGATATTTGGAACATATACAGTGAGCAATACCTTGGATAAACCCTGCATAGCTACTCAGTTGATACATGGGATCCAATCTTTTACATAACCACAAGTATTTATAGTGGTAAATTCACTTTGTTTTGATTTTTAACCCTTCTGCAAACTATTAACTCATCAGTAATTTTTCTTCTCCATGCTCCTTAAGAGAAATATATTTTGAGTGGAATGTAAATTTCTGCTTTTCAACAATAATTCAACAAGTATTAACTGAGTTTCCAAGGAATTGTAAAAGATTTAAGTATAAGGAGTCCTGGTGTAGCGCTGTGGGTTAATGCTCCAGACAACAAAGCCATTTCAACTGCAAGGTTGGCTGTTCAAGCTCACCAGTTGCTCCTTGGAAACCCTATGCAGGTTCGCTATGGTCGGAACTGACTCAATGGCACTTAACAATAACAACAACAACAAAGATACATATAGTAATTAAAGTCACAGAGCCTGGCTTTTAAGTTCTGACTTTACCGCTTATTAGTTCTGTGGATTTGGGCACTAAATTGTAAACCTTAGTTTCCTCATCTACACAGTAGGAATAATAATACTTTTTTTTAGGATTCTTGTGAAGAGTAGCTGAGTTAATATATGTAAAATGCTTAGCACAATGTCTTACATAGAACTCAACCAACTCTATAATAATAACATCAATACTCACAGTAATAAGTGATTTAAAGGACTAATTTGCTTTTGGGATGCATAAGAATATGCATACACATATCTGTGGTAGAAGACAACATAAGCTAAACATCATAGAAGGCATACTATTATCATTAGGTGCTGTTGAGTTGGTTCCAACTCATAGCAAGCCTATGTCCAACATAATGAAACACAGCTTGGTCCTGCACTATCTATCCCCACAGTTGTTGCGATGTTTGAGCCCAT